CCTCAGTGGATGCATCCATCATCCTTGTCCAGGCTGACGCCAAATCCAGCCCCGAGGGCCACTCCAGGGTGGGTTTGCTCAAGCGCAGCGCTGGGGTCAGCAGCCGCCAGCCCACCCGTGTGCACTGGGGCCGCACCCCGGCGCCTGCTCTGCAGCACGGAGCCAGCTAGTGGCTAAATCCATCTCAGCAACCAAAAAACCAGACACCCAAAGGGTTCTTAAGGCTGAAATGCAAACACACTCACTGGGGTTAGGTGCTCCAGGAGCCTGGTTGGCACCACTCGGGGCCGGCGGCAGCATGGGCTCAGCCCCGGGGGGACTTTGGCAGCGTGAGCACGGGCTGTGGAGCACAGGGACCCTTCCACGGGTGCGCTGAGCACCCCTTGTTCCAGGAGGGAGCACGGATGTGCACCGTGCCCCCCATCCTGCCCAGCCACCCTGCTTGCTTTCCGCACGGGGCCATGCGATGCTCTTACACCCCCAGCCACGCTCGCGGCCCTCCCCGCAGGGGCTAGAGGAGGCCAGGACCCGGCTTGGCGTCTCTGAGCAGGATCCGGACGAGCCTGAGCTGAGCATGCCAGAGCCAGCGCCGCTCGGCGTGGACAAGAAAGCGGCGGAGAAGAAGCGGGTGGAGAAGGTGGGAGCCAAAGGCAGCGCTACCGGGCCTCCAGGTAGGCGTGCAGGAAAGCCTTTCTCTGCCCCAAAATGGCCAGCCTGGCCCCAGAGGCATAGACCGTGTCCTCCATCACCGGCCAGCCCGGAAGGCACCGCCTGGCCACGGGGTAGTGATGGGATGAGCTCTGCTCTCCACAGTCCCCTGGGAGCTCAGCGACATGGAGATGGGGCGTCTCATCCACCCGCCAAATTCCGCTCCTCCTCCCCCTCCTCCTCCTCCTCTTCCTCTCCACCCTGCTCAGATCTGCTGCTGGAGCAGGGCGAAGCAGCAAAGCACAGGCAGAGGTTTTCCCTGCTTGAGCCCCAGGTTGCTATAACGCCGTGGTGGCCCAAAGACCCCACCTCAGCCCCCACAACACTCTTTTCCCCGCTCCGGCACTACGAACACCTTCCTCTGCTGCTGGTAGCAGGGCAGGCACCTCCTGCCCCTGCCCCTGCCCTGGATGGGCTGTGCAGGAGGACGTTGAGAGCCCTTCCCACCCGTCCGGCTCAGACCCCTTTGCCACTTCCCAGCTCCCCCAGTAATGCTGTTTCTCTTGGGGTTCCCCAGTCCCCAAGAGCCTCCCTGTACAGAGCAAGGTGGAGCCCCCCAGCCTGGACCCCGCGGAGGAGCCGCTCCTCTGGGAAGGGCTCACCCTCAACAAGTGCATCGTGGTGGCCTCCGTCGTCGCCCTGCTCAGTGTCACCTTCCAGGTGCTCCAAGGTGAGCCAGGAGCCGGATGGAGGGGGACAGGGTGGCCAGACCCTGCTGCCACCTCCTGCCTCCCCTCCCCTCCTCTCTTCCAGCGCCATGCTCCAGGGAGGGAGTCAGCCGCGGCAGGCAGGACCCTCCGCCGCCTCCCCTTCACGGTGGGTTCGGTTGCTCCAGGCTGCCCCGATCCCCCACATCCAACCTGAGATGGGGCCACTGGGTGGGGTGGCCCTGGGCCCCCGTGTCTGGGACATCACAGCCGAACAGCCTCGTCCCCTGCTGATAGCGGCCTGTCCCTCTCCTCCCGCAGAGGTGGTCAGTGCCAAGGAGGAGGAGGTCCAAGAGGTGGTGACTGCCCCGCCTGCCCAGCCGGAGAGCAGCGTGTTGCAGGAGGATGATGGTGACGACGATGATGATGATGATGACGACAGCGAAGCTGACAGCAACCTGGTATGGGTCCGGGGTGGGGGGAGAAACAGCATCCTCAGGGCACCTCCTGTGACGGGGGTGGATCTCATCCCTGGGGGCAGGGATGGAGAGGGATCCCGGTCCCTTGGGCTGTATCACCAGCACCTGGTCCCCTCCATCCCCCCCCCAGGCAGAGCCCTGGATCTTCAAGAAGTGCGGCACCAGAGGACGAGGACGAAGAGCCTGAAGATGTCCCCGAGGTGCCACCAGCCGTGAAGGAGGTGAAGAAGAGCCGTGAGAAGAAGCTGGAGAAGAAGGAGGAGAAGAAGAAGGAGGAGAAGAAGGAGGAGAAGGTGCGGGAGGGCCGTGCCACCCAGGCGGAGCGGAGCAGCCGGAGGGAGGCACGAGCCAAGGACAGGGCGCTGGGGGACAAGCCCAGCAGAGCCCCCAGGGCCCCCCGGGAGCCGGAGCAGCAGCCCCAGAAGAAGCGGGGCCGGGAGGGGAAGGAGAGCCGGCGGGAGCGGGACGAGCCCAGGAAGGAGGGGTGGAAGGGCCGTCCCGGCAGGGCTGACGGTGGTGGGGAGAGCCCGAAGCGGGACTGGCGGCAGCAGAAGGGCAGGAAGCCCTGGGAGCCGGCGGCCCCCCCGGGGAAGGACGACACTGCCAGGCCCAGGGAGGGCAAGAGGCGCGACTGAGGCTGGGGCGACCAAGGGGCTCGATGATGCTGAATCCAGGGGGGCCCAACCCCACCACCGCCCCCGGCAAGGGCACCCTGCCGCTCCCTGCCCGCTCTCCAGAGACATCCCCGGGCCGGCAGCGCGGGCAGCGCTCCAGGATCTCCGAGCAGCAGCAGAGCAGCCCTGGAGCCTGGCAGGAGCCTCCCCGGGGACTTTGGGGCCCCCTCCCTGGATTAGATGCACAAAGGCAACCCGAAAGGACCGGGGGAAGGAGCTTCCCTTCATCTGGGCTTCGCGCTGTTTCTCCATCCCCACCCCAAATCTCTCCTGCAGTTCATTTTCACTCGTGGTCCCCAAGGCATCGGGGCGGCGCAGTGGGCACGAGGATCCCAGTGAACAAAGTTTGTCTCCAGACTGCGTAGCTCTTCAATCCAGTTAATGGTTTTATTCAAAGCAAATCAAGAGAGAAGTGGATTCTGGGTTAACGAAGCCGAGCTGCAGCCGTCCTCAGAGGGACGTCAGGGCAACGACCACCCCGACCTCACCAGACCCCGGTGCCATCGCTGCAGGGGGATGCGAAGCTTGCTGGTAACAAAACCGGGCTGGAGAGCCCATCACCCGGGGATCCCTTCGGGCCTTGCCTTCACCGAGTCGCTTTTAGGAACGAAACACAAGTGCAATATCATGCAGCGCTGTAGCAACTACAAGAGACGTTCACAGCCCCAACCCACAGCAGGTTTAAGTATTTGCTAAATCAGTAGAAGTTAAAATAAACTATTTTCATTTTTAATAAGGTGTTAAATTGAATGTTTTTTAAAAAAAAAAAAAAAAGGCAAGAAAAAAAATCTTGTCCCTGGTTATGTTTGTGTGTTTTCTGTGCACCCCCATCCCCGATGCACAGGGGCTCGGGGCTAACCCAGGTCCCTGCATGGGCTGCGGGACAGGGCCAGTGTGTGCCAGCCTCCGGCCATGTCCCCACCAGCCCCGTGGGGACACTGCAAAGCCCAAGGGCTGATCCCAGCCCGGGGGGGGGGCTGCCGCCAGGACGAGCCCAGGAGCTGCTTTCCAGGGGTTTGGACCCTGTGGCAGCCCCGGTGGGTCTCGCTGAGGGTTGGGCTTAGCTGGGAAGATGATCTGGGTGCAGCCGGCCTCTCCATGGTGATGCTGGTGGGGACACGGAGCAGGTGCTTTGGCAGCCGTTTGCACCCGCTCCTATTAATGGTGTGAGCGGCCCCGGAGGTGTAACGGGATCGCTCCCCTCGCTCAGCCCTCCCTCTCCTCACCCCCCCGGCTCTGGCAGCATCCCAGGAGCGGGGTCAGCACAGGGCGATGCAGTCGGGACCCGGCAGGGAGCCCCAAGCCACTGCCAGCGGCTCTTCATGGCCCCTGGCTCACACGGGGAC